GAGAAGAGGAGGCTGAGGGAGACCTTGTTGCACTCTACAACTCCCTGAAAGGGGGCTAGAGGGAAGTGGGGGTTGGTCTCTTCTCCAAGGATAGGATGAGAGGAAATTGGAATAAGTTCCACGAGAGGAGCTTTAGGCTGAATATTGGGAAGAATTTATTTCCTGGAAGAGTGGTGAGGCATTAGACCAGGCTGCCCAGGGAGGTGGTGGAGTCCCCATCCCTGAAGGGGTTCCAAAACGTGTAGAAGTGTTACTTTGGGACATGTTTTAGTAGTCATGCTACTGTTGGTTTGACGGTTGGACTTGATGATCTTAAAGGTCTTTTCCAACCTCAACAATTCTACAATTCTATGCTCTAGCCTTCCCAGGCTGGCCTGCTGCATGTGAGAGGCGGTGGTGGCGTGAAGTGTGGGCTGGGCAGGTGTGTGGGCAGATGTTATGGGTGTAGGACAAGCCCTCACAGAAAGGCCAGCAGAAGGCTGGTGGGCTGGGGAGCAAGAAGCGTTCCAGGACTGGGTGAAAGGCAGGCTCTGCAAAGCTGCCTCCATCTTCAAATTTCCTGTGGTTTTAAAATTTGAACTGTGTTCCACTTTTAAAACTACCTGCCAAATAGCCAGATATCTCTGCCAGGTTATATTGTGCTTTTATAGCGTCCTCTGTACATGTGTGTGGGCTGAATGTTTCCTGTGAAAATTCATTTTTGGGCTGATATTATAAGGCTTAGGGGAAGCTACAGTATTCGTAAATAGTTAAATATGAAATAATAAGTCATGGGAAACAGGAAAAGCAGCACAAATACAGCGAATAGCATTGTTAGGCGGAACTCATTTGTCCAGATCAGATGCCTTCATCAAATTAAATCTCTTGGCTTCCGGCCAAAGAGTCAATGATTCTTATTCATCTTGAAATGTATTGGCCCATTCAGGCACTCCGTACTGAAACTACGGGATCATTCCAGCCCATCCCGAACACTTGCCCTGACTCTGAGTAAGTATGGCAAACACATTTCTGTCAGAATGAAATACTGTGTTCTTTGTCTTCTGTTCCAGACATCTTGTCAGATGTCTCTTCCCAGAAAGTCAGTCTACTCGTTGTGTTTGCCGGGTGGTGTCTGGCTAACACGGGTGCTTTTCTGGCAGCTCCAGCAGCAGCTGGATGCACACTATGCATCTTTTACATCCTTCCCACTGGTGTGTTCCATACCAGGCAGGGACTTTTTTCCCCAAGCTTTTGCCTAACAACATTAATATTTTTATCAGCATGGCTGTATAAAATATATCAGAAAAGCCTTTGTGCCAATGGCCTGACTTAAACACGCAGCCTCTTTGGCTGTGGTTGTTTGGCTCCTTTGATACATAGTATTTATGCCAGGGGATCCTTGTTATTGCTAAAATTGGGTTCTTTTCAGATACATAAAACCTGGAAAGGCTATCTCTGCTTGAGCATGTGTTCTCTCATGTACTGATTCAAATCTGTTAAGAAAACCCAGTTTATTGCATAAAAGATTTCTAAAAGATTAGGAGCTTCACATTATGTCAGCAGTGCTGAACCCTCTCTGTAGACCATCCTTCTGGAAAGTGAACAGAGTTTTCTCTTCCCTTTCTACTGTGCTATTTACCCTGTAATGTCACTTCCATGAAGTGACCTGGATGAACTTCCAGCCTAGGACATCAGGAGTCTGCTCAAAATTATGCCAAGCTTTTTATTTTTTTCAGTCAGTGTAGCTCGAATGATCCAGGAGCTACTGAGCTGCTGAAATCCTGAAGGAATTGCTGAAAACATCTGAATTATGAACCTTTGAAAGACTTGTAAGTTGTCTCTTTACAGGGAGACATCTATCATAGGAGTGATACTTTCCTACCTAATTTCAAGATTCTGTTTAAACTAGTGAGAGCTCTACAAGGCAAAGCATGCTCCAAATGATGTATTTTTCCCTCTTGGATAAGATGGTTTTCCCCTAACAGCATTTCATGAGTACTGTTCCGTTGTAATTTTTATTAATCATTCTGAAGGGGGTAAGAAGCGAGACAGATTTCACAATGAAGCTCACAAATTTCTGGGACATTATTTCCATTTCTCCCTGTTTGCTCTCAGAAACTGGCATTTTTGCTGCATAACTCTGAGCAGCAGCTTCCCAAATTCAGTTCTGTAAGTTCACACCCTGTACCCCTGTGCCAGAGGGGAACCAACTTAACAATCCCACCAGAGCCACATAACAATTGAAACTGCTCTATGATTGGTTTTCCAGTAGACAGATGTTTTTTAGATTAGTAAGTGATCAAGTAGTGCAGTACTTAAGTACTTACTTAAAGAAAGTCTCCAATGATAACGCCCATCTTGAGTAAGTATCCACCTTTAGACGTTTTGGGCTGACTTGCACTCTTAGTAGGCTGACGTTCTGTATGCCACCAGTTGTTTTCAGACACAGCTCAATAGTTTTAAAGGCTTGGCTGTGAAATCATCAGCTGAGATCTGTGTGAATAATGAAAAAGAAAACCACAGAATCACAGGATGGCAGGGGTTGAAGTGATCTCTGGAGATCATCTTGTCCAAGATCTTGTCCATCTTGCCCTGCTCCTGCAGGGTCACCCAGAGCAGGGTGCCTACAGCCACATGTAGGCAGGTTTGGAATCTATCCAGAGAAGCAGGCTCTACAACCTCTCTGGGCAGCCTGTTCCAGATGCTTTGCCATCTTTACAGGAAATAAGTTTTTCCTTATGTTCAGATGGAATGTCCTGGGTTCCAGTTTGTGCCTGTTGCCCCTTGTCCTGTCACTGGGCACCACTGACAAGAGTCTGGCCCCAGCCTCTTCACCCCCATGGGCCCTTTAGCTATTGATCAGCACTGATCAGATCCCCTCTCAGTCTTCTTGTCTCCAGGCTCAACAGCCCCAGGGCTCTCAGGTCACAGAGATGCTCCAGTTCTTTCATCAGGTTCATAGCCCTCCACTGGACTCTCTCCAGTAGCCCCTTGACTCTTGAACTGGGGAGCCCAGAACTGGACACAGCACTCCAGAGGTGGCCTCACTAGGGCAGAGTGGAGGGGGAGGAGAAGGTCCCTCGACCTGCCGCCCACATTCTACTGAGCGCACCCACGACCTGGGCGCTGGCATAGGACGCGCTGTGTGGGGCCCACGCCTGCTCCGTCGGTGTCCCTAGCTGAGGTACGGTTCATAGAATACAGCTTGGAAGGGACCTCAAGGACCATCTGCTCCAACCTTTCCTGGGAAAGCCGAAAAGAACGAGTCACGCCCCGCTTCACCTCCGCGCCCGCAGGCGGTGCCGGCTGCGCGACACTGCTGGAAAAGCGCGGGAGGCGCGCTTTACGGTTTTGTCGTAAAGCGTCCCCCGGGCAGCGCCGCTGGGCGCCCTTGAGCGGCCATGAGCGGGAGCGGCGGGAGCAGGGCCCTGGAGCTGCTGCGGTCGCTGCCCAGGGTCAGCCTGGCCAACCTGAGGCCCAGTCTGGGCTCCAAAAAGCCGGTGAGAGTCCGCGGCTTGTCGCGTGGGTGGCGGGCGTCTTTTCCTTCCCTCGGCAGGTCTCCGCAGCGGGGGGCGCCCC